GCCTGGAGGTCCCCCTATCTCCTTCCAGCGTTTTGCAGTGCAGCCCAGGGGGGTCTTTTGACTATTCCCCGACTCTGGCCGCTTCCCATCTCATCTACTTCACCTTAACCCGCTGCCCGATAAGCTGACAGTTCCCCCCTCAGGCAGAGGGTACAGAGGTGCCCTCTCCCCGCAGAGCACGCACCGAAATTCAGGACAACAGTGAACACAGAATTGCTGCCTCCCGCTGGAGGAGATATTTCACCTGGGACACTTAAACCCCTGAGCCCCAACAAACAGCAGCACCAGGGCCCCAGCGGGCGGGCGCCAGGCTCTGCACTAAGGGATGTTCGCTCGCCCTGCACTCCCCCCGTGCAGAGTCCGCCCCGCGCTTCGTTCCTCCCCGGGCGCTTCCCCGGCGGGAGAACGGACCCGCGGGGCAGAGAACTCCGCCCTGCGCGGCCGCAGCTGGGCTGCGCCTCACACCCGCAGAACAGCCGCACGGGGGGCCTCGCGCTTGGTCCTGACACGCCGAGAAATGGCAAACACTGCAAACAGCAAAGCGCCACTCGGAATCTATAAAGCCATTGCTTGTTGGTGATGAGGTGCTGACAGAGAAGGGACGCTGTATCAGAGTGTCACACCTGATGTACAAACTGCCACTTTGGGGGTTCGGGAGGGGCGGGCGCGGGCCGGGGGCGCAGTGCCAGAGACCGCGGGTGGTCACTCTGTGGCAGGGGGGGCTCGGGGAGGCCCCGGGGCTGCCACCGCCAACTCTGTGCTTGCAGGTCGGGGGTGCAAATGCTAAACACAGCCGTGAGCGATCGCCTCCGGTGTACCTGGTGTAAAAGAGTTTTTAAGTCCGTCCTCATTAATGCTTTTCTGTAGTTCTTTAATAACAGGGAAATGCCGTCCTTATCAGCAGGTAGTGGACGTTTGGAAGGGGCTGGCGGCTTTTCTGGAGGTGTTTCAGCTACAGCTGTAGGATCCATCCGAGAATCAGATCCACTAGGTGAGGTGGCATCGGCTGCAGCTGCCGCGGCAGTCCGATCACTTTTTAACTCTTTCGGGGGTTGATGTACCAGTTGCCATGCAGTTGAAGGTGACACAGCGATGGTGTTTTTCCTTACGGCCGCCTCGAACAAAGCAGACCGTGCATCAGCAGGGACTGCATTCCTTTTGCACCAGATAAACAAAGTGCACAGGGCTTTTTCCTCATCAGAGGGAGCTGGTGGAACAGAGGGCTCCACGGTGGGAGGTGGAGGGGCCACTGCCTGAGGGCTTTCTGCTCATTCGGTCTTTGTGGAGGTAAGGACTCATCTTTGTGCTTCCTCATCAGAGTCCTCACACAAACCCCTCGCTCTCAACCACGGCCTGCGTTTAGGACGGGCTCCCCCCGCTCTTTTTGATGTGGGTTTATCAGAGAGGTGCAGAGTTTACGTAGTGGCACTTAATTCTCCTTCTTCATCACTCTCATCACTCTCACTCTCCTGCTCTGCATTGCCCTCCTCAGTCAGTTCTTCCCCCTCCTTGGGGGGTGATGAAGGGGTCACCCGTTCTACTGCTTCACCCCCTGATGCCATATGTCCATCCCCACCCTGTAAATCATTTTGAGGAGGCTGAGAGTGAGATCGGGGCTGCAATCTTACTTTTCCCATAAGGGGTTTTCTTCCTGCGACAGCCGACATTCTAGCGTTAGCGCCGCTTATTCCTTCCCCGTTGTCTTTTGCTATTTCTGTTGTCTTTTCTTTTTTCTCACACTCTGCCTTCCATCCCATTAGAATCTCAGCAGTTGCCAGGTAGTGACCAATTCTGCTGCTTTTGACCCTTTAGAAATTGCATCCTATAGTTTTTGTCCTACTTCTTGCCAGGCAGTCACACTGAATGCAGTGGCTGCCGTAGCTTCAAATCCTTGCATTTTGCTCCATATCAAAATCCTTTTTAAACTATGCTCGGTGGTTTTAACACCTTTTTTCCTTAGCAAGGCTTTCCATGTGGTCAGTATCTTTTCTTCTTCTTTAGTTATTTGTTGCCCCATAATTACAGTCCTGTTCCCGGCGGCTCACCTTATCAGGTGTCGAAATTCGGGTCCGGACCAGGCAGACTCCCTCTGCTCTCAGCTACACCGGGCTCCGTCCCTGCTGCACCTTGACCTGCAGCTCCACAAAATTTCTCTGATCCCATCTTTGTTGCGATCACGTTGGCTTGATCACATCGGCTTGATCACGTCGGGGTCACCAATTGTCGCAGTAGAGACGGACACGACAACGTTTTTTTAGCAGAATAGCCATCCTTATTGCTCCCCCCATATCTTATGTACTTCATCCTTTCATCCAGGCACCATGCTCGTTGGTTACGTGGCTGTTTGTCTATTACTTTATTGGCTACTTCTCTTAAAATCCCCCACTGTTGGGGTATCTGACAAACACGGTATTTTTCTTCTTTCTCCTATCTCCAGTCCCTTTCTCAGGCTGACCCAGCACTCCTCCGGGACTTTTCCAGCTGCTCAGGGGTACACCACAAGCTGGTCAAGGTCAAACTGTTCTCTCTCTGTCAGGCATTCGGCAGGCCCGCTGCCTCCCCCAGTAAGGGACCGTGCCCCCTGCCCCCTGAGCTTGTCCAACCTTCCCAAGGCTTTTTAATCCCTCGTTGGTGGCAGACAGGTAAAGGGACAGTGCTGACAAACCTGCTCCATCCTGGCATCTCCAGGTTTGCAAGGATGCCATGCTGATTTTTGTCGGGGAGGGGGGGGAAGTTGGTTTTGGGAAACTGGTGCAGCGGAGGAGATTTTAATTGGCGCATGGGGGTGGCTTCGTGCTGAAACTGGCTGCCTCCCCTCAAGGGAGGGGAAGGAAAAGTGTCAGGAACTTTGCTGACTTTCTTTAAGCACCTCTCTCTCTTCTCCCACAGGTCGTCTCTGCTCTCACCATTCCTCCTGCCACCGGCGTTAGCCGCTTCCCCGATCCCGCGGCAGAGAGGGGGTTAGAGCCCACGGCCCCACCATGAACGAAGTGTCGGTTGTGAAGGAGGGCTGGCTGCACAAGAGAGGTGAGAGTGGGGAGCTGGCATGGCAGCGGTGGCATCCCTCCGAGGCCGGGTCACTGCAGGGAGTCCGGCACTGCAGCTGCTGCCAGGAAAGGAGAGCTCCGGTTTCCAGTTACTGACGATTTTAACCTTCCCAGCACAAACGCAGGGGAGGTCTCTGCTTCCCCTCACCCCCAAAGGGGGGCCACGAAGCACGTTGGCACCGCAGGGCATCCCAAAACCCACCAGCACCTCCCTTTTCAGCTTTCTCCTGCTCCAAGCTGGGGTCGGCAGCTCTCGCGACCATCGGCAATGCCGCTTCGCCGGCGTTGGGTCTGTGCTGCGAGTGAATCCTCTGGCAGTGTCGGTTTTAATTTCTTGCCACGTTGGGAAGCTGGAGAACAATCCTAACACCTCCCCGCAGACCTTCTAACCTGGTTTGTGGCAGCCCTGCAGCCAGACCCACAGCCAGCCCTTTTATTTTTAGTTCTACATGGGGAATGTCGCAGCGTTGTAGCAGCTGTGCACGTGGGGTTTTATTTTTAGATCCATTGAAGGTAGCTCTTCTTTTTCCTTCCCTGGCTGAGGGTGGCTTGCAAGAGAAGCAGGCGTGAAAGCCAGCCACCTCCAGCAACCTTTCTCCCGCTGGCAGCCCAGCTGGATCCCTGTGTCCAGCAGGTTTGTGGATTCCTCCTTCTTCGTGGAAAATAGACCTGGAGAGGGCGAAGCCAGGGCTTCCCTCCAGTGCTCTTTCTTTCTCAGGTCGATTTTGGAACTGCCAGGGGAAGCCTGAAGCTTCTTTTTCCCCTCTGTGTTCCCTTGGAGCGAGTGTGTTTCAGACTTAACCCACTGCTCACACCTCTCCTAAATCACAGCAGCCAGCTGCATTTTGCAGGAGCTTCTCCAAAGCAGGTCTTAGAAACAGTCTGAATAAAAGCCCCACTGAATTTTCCATCTACAAGGGGTCCTTCTGCCGTTTAATTACCCATCTCATCATCAGAACCACTTCTACAAGGGGTCCTTCCCCCAAAACCCCTGAGCCTTCCCCCTGCCCCCCTCTCTCTTGCAGGGGAATACATCAAAACGTGGCGTCCCCGGTATTTCCTGCTGAAAAGCGACGGATCTTTCATTGGCTATAAGGAGCGGCCAGAGACGTCCGACCACAGCTTGCCACCTCTGAATAACTTCTCGGTAGCAGGTACGTCAGCATGGGTGGCTCTAGGGCAGTCTGTGGTTAGGAGCTGATGTCCAGCAGGGTGTCTTCATCCCTGATGCTGTTAGGGAAAGCTTTGGGATGGGGATATTTGATCCCAAACCATCGTCTTCCCTTTTAATTTAATTTTTGAACTTCTGCAGAGTGCCAGCTGATGAAGACTGAGCGGCCTCGGCCCAACACCTTCGTCATCCGATGCCTGCAGTGGACGACAGTCATCGAGAGGACCTTCCATGTGGACTCTCCTGAAGAGCGGTAGGCACGTGGGATGGCCCCTCCCTTTGGGTGTCCAGGGCAAAGAGCGTGTTGTGTTGTGTTGTGTTGTGTTGTGTTGTGTTGTGTCAGCACTGGCGTGGCCAGCAGGGACAGGGAAGGGATCTCACCCCTGTGCTTGGCACTGGGGAGGCCGCCCCTCGATTCCTGGGTTCAGTTCTGGGCCCCTCACCCCAAAAAGGCCATTGAATGACTCGAGCGTGGCCAGAGAAGGGGAACGGAGCTGGGGCAGGGTCTGGAGCACAGGTCTGCTGGGGAGCGGCTGGGGGAACTGGGGGGGTTCAGTCTGGAGAAGAGGAGGCTGAGGGGAGACCTCCTGGCCCTCGGCAACTCCCTGCCAGGAGGGGGCAGAGAGGGGGGATGAGTCTCTGGAGCCAAGGAGCCAGCGCCAGGCCCCGAGGGAATGGCCTCAAGCTGCCCAGGGCAGGGTCAGGCTGGCTCTGAGGAAGGATTTCTGTGCAGAAGGGGCTGTTGGGCGTTGGAATGGGTTGCCCAGGGCAGGGGGGAGTCCCCGGGATCCCTGGGGGGGTTGAAGAGTCGGGCTGAGCCAGTGCTGAGAGGTCTGGGGGAGTTGGGAACGGTCAGGGGTGAGGTTCATGGTTGGGCTGGAGGAGCTGCAAGGGCTTTTCCAACCCAGATGAGTCTGTGATCCCAGCTGGAGGAGAGCCCGGAAATCTCTGAGCCATCGGCCCGCAAAGGCTGGAGAGATGGGCACAGCTCCTCTCGCTGATCCTCACTGCTCCCCCTGTGCTGCCAATCCCCTCTTACTCTGTAGCGAGGAGTGGATGCGAGCCATCCAGACGGTAGCGAACAGCCTAAAGAACCAGGAACCGGAGGCAGACCTCAGGAATTACAAGTGCAGATGTCCCGACGACAGCACCAGTGCTGAGGAGATGGAGGTGGCTGTCAGCAAAACCCGCACCAAGGCTGTAAGTCGTCCCCGGCGCGGCACCGTCTCTTGCCACAAGCGGGATTGCGGCGAGCTGGCACGGCCGAGCAATGAGGGAGGGATACGGGATAAACCTCATCTCCCTGGTGACCACTGTCACCGGGATAATCGCGGGTGAAAGAGCAGCCTGGAAAACCCTTTCCCATCCCAGATCCTACTTGCCCACGCTGCAGACTCTCACCTTCATCTTGTTTCTCCCCAGACCATGAATGATTTTGATTACCTGAAGCTCCTGGGAAAGGGCACTTTTGGCAAAGTCATCTTGGTGCGGGAAAAGGCCACTGGCCGCTATTACGCCATGAAAATCCTACGGAAAGAGGTCATCATTGCAAAAGTACGTGCAGAGCCCCAGCGGAGGGTGAGGGCAAGAGTCGGGAGCCACCAGGGTTTAGGGGATCGCAGAATCAGAACAGTTTGGGTTGGAAGGGACCTTTCGGGGCCATCTCATCCAAACCCGAAGGCTGCGATGTTTCAAAACACGTCTCCGAAGCTGCCCAGCTCCTGCTGTGCTCTAAACGCTGGGGGATTCTAGGAATTTAAAAAGCCTGGGCGTGCACTGTAAGGTGCAGGTGGGTGACGCTGTGGGATCCGCTCACTCGCCTCCCTCTGTGGCGGCCACGTCCTCCTCCAGATGTGGCCAGTGAAGCATTCACCCTGCGGGGGGCAAAACCAGGGCAGAGCTTGGTGCTTCAAGCTCCCATCCCTGTTTGGGGTTTTTTTTGTTGTTTGGTGGTTTGTTTTTTTTTCTGGGAACAGTTGAGAGCGGTGGGAAAATTCTTGATTTTTCCACAAATGATGGCGCTTCATCTCCCCTCCTTTTGCAGGATGAGGTGGCACACACTGTCACAGAAAGCCGGGTGCTGCAGAACACCAGGCACCCCTTCCTCACCGTAAGTACGGCTGGTGGCAGCCAGGGGATGCCTGGCACGCCCTGGAACGACCCTTCCCTTCCCCTCACCACCTCCCGTGCGAGCGCAGAGCCCTGCAGCTTCTCTGAGACCTTTTTTTCTCTTGCAGGCACTGAAATACGCCTTTCAGACCAACGACCGGCTGTGCTTCGTCATGGAGTATGCCAACGGCGGAGAGGTGGGAGCTTAAGACTGACACTCCCCCCAGGGCTTGGAAGGATCTTGTCTGCATATTAAATAGCTGCTTCCAGCTCATTAACAGACAATTTATTCCACATGTGGGGAGGTAGAGCATGCAGCTCTCCTCTTGCCTGAGTTTTCTTGGCTCTTTGCTCGCCTTCCAGGTGCTCGATATCACACGAAACCATCCAGGGGGGCTGCAGACACTGCAGCCCCTCCAGCCATCACTGGCTTCTTTACCTTCCGCCCTGTGCTGGCATCCAGCTTTGTTTCTCCACCCTGACACGCTTCCCTTGCAAGGGAGAATGCAGCCAGTGGCACAGCCCCTCTCTCAAGCGCTCCTGCTGGCAGAGCAGAGGGGGAGCTGTCTATTTTTCAAAGCAAGGAGCTTAGAACACATATGACCGCATTAGCTGCGTGCTGAGAGCGATTAACCCGGGTTTCACCGGGGGTTTTAAGCACTTGTTGATCGGCTCTTCTCTTTTATTTGTTTGTTTGTTTGTTTTTCTTTTCCTCAAGCTGTTTTTCCACCTCTCAAGAGAACGTGTCTTCACGGAGGACCGAGCCCGTTTCTACGGTGCAGAAATAGTCTCTGCGCTGGAGTACCTGCACTCCCGGGATGTGGTGTACAGGGACATTAAGGTACCAGCCCAGCAGCAGTGGCGTCTGTTTTAGTGCCAGCGCAGTTTTAATCTTCCTGGGCCTGGTGTTTGGGGGTGTGGAGTTGCTCCCAACTCCCCTAACCCCCCCCCGCCGAGGCCCCTCGCAGGGTTTCAGGTGCCGCAAGCTGCCTTTCTCCGCTCCTGCTCTCTGCCCGGGGCTGGGGATGTTGTGGTAGGAGGGAGAGCAGGAGCTTGGCTTCAGCAGAGAGACCTTGAACCTGCCCTGTGGAGCGCTGTCACCCCCGTCCCCAACGGAGACTTTTTGGGAAGCAGCATCTCGCTCCTGTGCTCCCGACTTTGCTCAGCTCCAAACATATTCTCCCATCTGCCTGCTTTTTTTTTTTTTAGCTGGAAAACCTCATGCTGGACAAAGACGGCCACATCAAAATCACCGACTTTGGGCTCTGTAAGGAAGGCATCACGGACGGAGCCACCATGAAGACCTTCTGTGGCACTCCTGAGTACCTGGCTCCAGAGGTATCTAAAGCATTGCCACAGCCAGGCTTTCCTTGAAATCCTTGTGCCAGAAAAAGGGGTTTTTTTTTCTGTGGAGGTTATTTCCAAAGTCCAAGATGGCAGTGGTTCACTGGGGGCTTTTCCAAACTCTTCGGTTGCAAGTGTGGTTGTTCTTAGAACAGGGTTTCCCTTCTCCCAACTCGTGTTGCCACCTCGTTCTTCAGCCTCATCAGCACCATCCTCTGTCTCCCCGACACAGGTCCTGGAGGACAATGATTACGGCCGTGCCGTGGACTGGTGGGGCCTGGGAGTTGTCATGTATGAGATGATGTGTGGTCGCCTCCCCTTCTACAATCAGGACCACGAACGCCTCTTTGAGCTGATCCTTATGGAGGAGATTCGGTTCCCTCGTACCCTCAGCCCTGAGGCCAAGTCCTTGCTGGCCGGGCTGCTCAAGAAAGATCCCAAACAGAGGTGAGACTTCGCGAGGATGGATGGGACAGGGGAGGGATCTGAGCCCTGGGCTCAGCACTGGTGAGGCCGCCCCTCAATGAGTGGGTTCAGTTTTGGGCCCCTCACCCCAAAAAGGCCATTGAATGACTCGAGCGTGGCCAGAGAAGGGCAACGGAGCTGGGGCAGGGTCTGGAGCACAGGTCTGCTGGGGAGCGGCTGGGGGAACTGGGGGGGTTCAGTCTGGAGAAGAGGAGGCTGAGGGGAGACCTCCTGGCCCTCGGCAACTCCCTGCCAGGAGGGGGCAGAGAGGGGGGATGAGTCTCTGGAGCCAAGGAGCCAGCGCCAGGCCCCGAGGGAATGGCCTCAAGCTGCCCAGGGCAGGGTCAGGCTGGCTCTGAGGAAGGATTTCTGTGCAGAAGGGGCTGTTGGGCATTGGAATGGGCTGTCCAGGGCAGGGGGGAGTCCCCGGGATCCCTGGGGGGGTTGAAGAGTCGGGCTGAGCCAGCGCTGAGGGATCTGGGGGAGTTGGGAACGGTCAGGGGGAGGGTCATGGTTGGGCTGGAGGAGCTGCAAGGGCTTTTCCAACCCAGATGAGTCTGGGGGGGACCACAGTGCTGCTGGCTATTCCTGAGGTGCCTCTCTCTCTGTCCGCAGGCTCGGCGGAGGTCCCAACGACGCCAAGGAGGTGATGGAGCATCGCTTCTTTGCCCCCATCAACTGGCAAGATGTGGTTCAGAAGAAGGTAGGAAGGGAAGGGAGTGCGTTGAAGGGGTGAAGGGACAGGCAGGCACTTGGCACAATGCCAGTGAGTGAATTTTTCCTGGTTTCCATCAGCTGGTCCCACCATTCAAGCCCCAAGTGACATCTGAGATAGACACACGGTATTTCGATGACGAGTTCACCGCCCAGTCCATCACCATCACCCCTCCGGATCACTGTGAGTGCCTATGCTGCCCAGAAACGGGAACCCCCTTTGTCACCTGTACCCCCTTCCCCTCCTATGACCTAATTTTCTTGTCACCACCATTATGGTGGCGGGTGTCACCGCAGGGGCTGTGGTGGCATTGCTGTCACACCTCAAATAATAGCTCGGGGTCCCTCTTGCTGCCCTGCAGAGGTCTTGGGCAACTTTAGTGGCATCTCCGCCGTGGGAGGGAGCGGGAAATCTTGTGAACACACCAGGGAGCCTTCATCAGCACCTCCCTCACCCTCAGACCTTGCCCTGTCCCTTCACAGATGACAACATGGGCTCCCTGGAGAACGACCAGCGGACGCACTTCCCCCAGTTCTCTTACTCCGCCAGCATACGGGAGTAACCAGCCGCGGCAGCATTCGGCCTCTGAGGAGGAGGAGAAGGGTTTGGGGGTTTGCTCGCCGCAGGAGGGACTGCTCTTCTGTGCCCAGCAGAAGTGGGGGGACACTGTGACTTGCTGGTGCTGCGCCGCGGCGCCTTTTGGAAGCCGTACCCCCACCAAGTGCTCTTGGTCTGCAGCTCCCACCCCGGCACCAGGATGTCAGGATGTGCCTCCTGCCCCTAGCCTGGGACTGCTTTGATTTTAATTATCATTATTATTATTATTATTATTTTCTTTTTTTTTTTAATTTCTAGAAGTGCTCGCAAGCTTTTCAAACCAATCCCCGTTTCCCCTCAACTGTGGCCTTGACCCTCTACCCCCCGGAGCTCAGCCATCCCTCTGCCCAGTAAAACCCAGTGCTCCCAGTTGGGGAGAAGCTGTTTTCACAGCAGGAGGGAGGGAAAAAAACCCCTCTGAGGCCAGGATCCAGGAGTAGGTGGACACCATACCAGTACCTCCACCCTGAGACCATGGCGGGGGTCAAGTCTCAACCCCTCACCTCCTCCTGGCTTTGAACTGAATCTGCAGCGACCGAAAACCACCCATCCCCCTGAATTGGCGCCTGGGTAGAGGGGAGCACCCCCACCCAGCAGCCAGCCACCACCTGTGGAAAACACAATCCTCAAAGCAATACTTTGGCTTTTCCGGTGCCTTAAAGCCAGGAGCCGCGGTGCCGTCGGGCTCCGTGACACCAGCCCCATTCTCCAAGCACTGTTAGCGGCCGACGGCGTCACCAGAACCAACCAGTGCCAGTGGCGTGACTGGGTCTCTTCAGCACCGATAGTGGGAGGTCCCCCCCACCCAACGGGACACTCTGGGACACCTTTGGGACCCCCCCCACTGCCGTGGCGCTGCGCCGCTGGGA